ATGTAGTCGAAATGTAAAAGAAATTTTGAATTTGATGCCCTCTTGACCGAGAAAAGACAGAAAATAACTTTAGTGCGCATTTGTATGCAAGACAACAACTCCCACAATGCACCACATTGCACAGCTCCGCAAGCCACTCCCACTAATCCAGAACAGCGCAAACATCAGAGAAATCACTTTTCCGTCTACAAGGCTAACGTTAGCTGCCACCAGAGTTAGAAATTTATGGGATGATTTTAGTATCAAAATGATTAACACGTGCAAGCACACTTATCAATGAACTTGATACATGTTGCAGAAATGTTTTATCCATGCCTTTCAACTTGTGTGTGCAAAATTCAAAATTGAATGAATGTGAAGCAATTTGTACAAATAGAGACATTTTTGTGAATACAAATGTTTTCCTTTGTATTAGTGTCTCATAATTTGCACATGCAACACAGAAGACGTGCATGTGTGGATCAGGTGACGCGCGTGCATTCATTGACTCGATTCATTGAGTCGATCCTATTTGATTCATTTGGATTTTGAGACTTTCATTTCGCGGTTTTCGCCTTGCACGATCCACACACAGCTGTCTGAGAAAAGCTGCTACCACTAGATGGCAGTATTCTGCTAAAACAGACAACGGCCGCATAATCAAGCGTTCTTCCGCATTTAAGACGCTTAATGAGAGTGATATTGAAGCACCAAATTTAGTACACAATAATATAGGCCTACCCTATTAATAAAGCATACTTTATAGAGGCAAACATTACGTCAGATTATGAACAACACCCATAGAAAACCATTATAAAACGCTTAACGTGCAATCGCGCGTTGCATGCTCAGTAAGGTGTATTGGCTACTGAGTTTAAATATCACCGTCTTACTGCATTGACGTTAAGCTTTTTCTTTATAATATGCTCTATGGGAGGAAAACTATATAGCCTACAGACAAGAGACTACATGAACGCAATGTACGGCGTTTCAAGTTAATAACATTTCCTTCCCGAGCCTGTTAAAAAGAAAAAGCTTAACATGAAATAAAAATTCTGCAGTTGCGTTTAACTTTGCATGTGAATGGGAGAGCAACCGGTCCGTGAGTGCAGTGAAGTAAGTTTTAGGTTTGATATTCGCCTCATTTTATAAAGGGACCATCTGCAAACTCCACTCACAGTCAAAAAAATATAAACGTCCAGTCATTCATTCAAATGAACATATTTCCAAGGTTATATTATAACCTTCTATTGCTATATATTATAATTTCCAAGGTTATATTATAACCTTGGAAGTCTAGTGGGCAGACTGACTTAGCCTACTGTTACTGTACTATGTCCAGCCAATATCTCGATTGAACAGTAGCCTACAATTTTTTAATTTACTGTAAATTGTTTTTCTATTCATGTTCCAAAGGTTGTAGTACGTTCCTAGTGACAAGTCAGGTGAAATTTTACATTATTCACTTGTAGTAAGTCACCAAAAACCCGTTTGGTTAATTACAGTAATTTTTTTATAAAATAATAATTGTTTACTAAATAGGCTACATGAAGGGAGTTATTGGGGCAATTTCACCTGTAGTAAGCCAGTCTAGTCACTGAACATACTACAACCATTTTGAACATGAAAAAACCCTTTTGGTGAATTACAGTATTTTTCTGCAGAATACAGGCTACATGAAGGGAAGTATTGTCCAAATTTTACTTGTAAGTCAGTCTTACAGAAACCTTCTACGAGCTTTGGAATTTGAAAATGTCTGTTATTAAATTTAAAAAGTAATTTGAATTAAAACAAATTATACGTTTTAACCACTGATCTATGTAGAATGACATTATAGATCAGTGGTTTTAACGCAGTTAGTGGAATTGGCAGACGTTCCCTTGTGCATCATGAGCTGTGGTTAGCGCGTCAAAGCATTCTCATGTAGAAATATGCAGCTACAGGCCCGCTACGCCAGTTGATTTTCAATTAATATTTCATGTCGATATACAATGGTTGCATATTGTTAAAACTCATCGTGCTATAGTAAGACTATAGCCTATGGCTTAAGGGTCAAGGGAAAACAAATGTACTGCGAAAATCGTCTTTAATATTTAAAAACAGACATTTTCAAATTCCTGCTTGTATACTATGTACACAATGTGTAGTCAGATAAAAATAAGCATATAATATGAACGCAACTGCGAAATTTCACCTTTTTTTTAACAGGAAGGAAAATTGTATTAACTTGAAACGCCGTGCGTTGCGTTCATGTAGTCTCTTGTCTGTAGGCTATATAGTTTTCCTCCCATAGAGCATATTATAAAGAAAAAGCTTAACGTCAATGCAGTAAGACGGTGATATTTAAACTCAGTTGCCAATATACCGTACGCTATTGAACATGCAACTAATGGTTTTCTATGGGTGTTGTTCATAATCTGATGTTATCTGTTTACCTCTATAAAGTATGCTTTATTAATAGGGTAGGCCTATATTATTGTGTACTAAATTTGGTGCTCCAATATCACTCTCATTAAGCGTCTTAAATGCGGAAGAACGCTTGATTATGCGGCCGTTGTCTGTTTTAGCAGAATACTGCCATCTAGTGGTAGCAGCTTTTCTCAGACAGCTGTGTGTGGATCGTGCAAGGCGAAACCCGCGAAATGAAAGTCTCAAAATCCAAATGAATCAAATAGGATCGACTCAATGAATCGAGTCAATGAATGCACGCGCGTCACCTGATCCACACATGCACGTCTTCTGTGTTGCATGTGCAAATTATGAGACACTAATACAAAGGAAAACATTTGTATTCACAAAAATGTCTTTATTTGTACAAATTGCTTCACATTCATTCAATTTTGAATTTTGCACACACAAGTTGAAAGGCATGGATAAAACATTTCTGCAACATGTATCAAGTTCATTGATAAGTGTGCTTGCACGTGTTAATCATTTTGATACTAAAATCGTCCCATAGAAATTCATTTCACACAAAATTTCTAGTTAGTTGGCTGTGGCGAGCAGGACGAGGGCGAGGGATGTGATAGGACAGCGCGAGGCCGGTGGCGCGAGTGATAATGAACGACAGCTGTGAGACGCACCGGTCTCTCACCGAGGAGCGGACGCATAAAACGAGGAGCGACGACAGGGCAGATCGAGAGAGGAACAGGCCTGATTTTATGTTGTGTTTTGTTTCTGTTGTGTGTGGCCAGCAGTGAGGGGCTGCTCGCTTATATTTTTGTTTTGTATTTGTTTATTTTACTATTAAAATGTTTAAATGTTTGCCGGTTCCCGCCTCATTCTTCCCACAACAACGAACCCCGTTACATTGGCAAACTCATTAGTGAATTACTCCTCGTTTGTATTTCTTTCTATATGGTGAATTATTGCATGATGATGATAAAGTTACCTGGATGTTCAGTCAGAACATATGCGGTGCGAAACTTGGATGGATCACAACACAAACGTCCGTGTGCTCGTCTGATTCAGAGGTTTCGTCCAGGTGATATTGCGATCGTTGAAATTCTCTGCAGCAGACGGACTCTATCTGTGTCCGTAGCGCACAGCGAGAGCCGAGAGCACGACATGTAGGCACCAGCAGTCCGCCCAGCTCGAGCCAGTCCGGGCTTCTCGTCTGCGCCGGGCTGGTCTCCTGCGGCGGCCGCTGCCGCAGCCGACGCCGCCGCCTCTTGTTCCTCCATCAGCCTCAGCTGCTCTTCGCTATATTGTGGCTCGTATAAATAGCCACGAACATCAGTTTCGAGCAAAAGATTTTCAAAATCCTCGTCTTCCATATCGTGTGTCGTAAATTCAGGCATTATGGTAAATCTAACTCCTTGAGCGCTTGTTAGCTTAGCTTGCTGTCTTCCAAGCAAGATGGCGGATTAATAGTTTAGTTTCTTCAGGTTTAGTCCCACCCACTGATCTGTAATAGGCCGGTGGGGTGAGTGGGTCCCACGCCCTTGAATAATAATGAGCTAAAGGCTGTAGTTTTCTTAATATGCAATGAAATTTATCTTCCGTCCTATCGTGACGCAAAATGACGATATTTACGTCACGATAGGACGGAAGTAAAACACTTAAATCCTTTTTTCTCCCATCTCAGAAAAAAAACAAGCAAAATTCCACCATCATTATAATATATGACTGGGTTTCTAACAATACAAACCTTAATGCAAATGGGTGAAGTGACCCTTTAACTATGGCATTAATGTGATTAATCGCGATTAAATAATCGTTTGATAGCAATATATATATATACTGAGACCACTGGAAATGTGAATTGTAGACTTGTCTGTACATGACGTGAGAACAGTTTGTACGTTAGCATGGATTAACTAACTTTAATTGTAACTTAATGAGAGTGTGACAACCAGAAAATGAAAGTTTTCGTCATCATAGGGATTGGGGTTGAATCCTTAGGGAACCAGGTTACTGCACACACATCATTGGATTAATACGATTAATCCAAAGCAGACATTTTGCTCTGTCTCGTTTAGGTTTAGGAAATGAAATAAAACAAACTCCATACTCTCAGGATGCCTAGAATCAGGATAACAAGAACCCCAGACACATCGGTTTACCATTTCTGTAGCATAAACACCATCAAACCGATGAGAACTTCGGATCTTCCAATATTTCCCTATGGCTCTGAAACCTAAAGATGTCCGACTTCCGGTTCCCATGTAACTGATACTTAACTGCCATTGGCTCATCTGGGTTGGAGGGGAGGGGCTTACCGATTGGTCAATTATCTCAGTTAACTCAATCCAGCGAAGCTAATCATAAACAACAGGTGTGTTCGAAGAATCTAATTAGCCAGATCATGATTAGCATGATGATATAATCTTTGATGTGTCATTTGAACTGGATCTTCTCTCGGATAACACCTGTTGAACGTTGTAAGTATTTGTAGCTTGAACCGGTTGTTTCTTTTATGTGATTGAACATTTAGTTGTAATTTAATTTCAGTAACAATGAAGCAGTGAAGAATTTGTCTGTTTAAAGGAGTAATGGATTTTCTTTTTCACTTGTTTCCCCTTCGGATCTGCAGCAAGATGTTGCTTTTATTATTCTGTCTGCTTTCTCTGACGGCAGCGGCTGCTGAAGGTACCGCATTTTACATGAGGTTTCACGGATTGGCCTGAGCAGGATTTTGTGTGTCTAGTAAAAGTTTGTGTTTGTCTTGCAGTGGGTCTCGGTGGTAAAGTGCTTCTGTTTCCAACTAAGACTAACTCCAGCTTTGTTAAACTCACTCCTGAAAAGCCCCTGAGTCTCTCAGCGTTTACTCTCTGCATGCGTGTGGCGACGGAGCTCCAGGGTCAGAGGGAGATCATTCTCTTCGCTTACCGAACAACTGGCTATGATGAGCTCAACGTGTGGAGGGAGAAAGATGGCCGCTTGTCCTTCTACCTCAGCGGCGATGGAGCGCTTTTCCACCTGCCTCCTCTCTCCACGTTCCAGACTCACCTGTGCCTCACCTGGGACTCTGTGCCTGGTCTTGCTGCTTTTTGGGTGGATGGACGGCGCAGTGTGTTCCAGATCTATAGGAAAGGTCACTCAGTTCGTCCTGGCGGCACCGTTCTGCTCGGCCAGGACCCTGATTCAGATGTGGGTTCCTTTGACCCAGAGCAGAGCTTTGTTGGTGAAATTACAGATGTGCACATGTGGGATTATGTTCTCTCTGGCAGTCAGATTAAGGCGGTTTTTTCTAACCAGGAACCGTATGTGCCGAAGGGAAACGTGATTGACTGGAACACCATCAAATATGAGACCAGAGGAAATGTGCTAGTGGTTGAAAATAACTGATGCTGATCTGATAAAATAACTGTAACTGACAAATAAATATTATCATTACAACTGCAGTGTCTGTGTGTAATTTGGAAGAATGTTGAACAGGGGGTTTTACTGTTCTTAGTGGTCTCTTAAATTTTCATATTACAGTACTAGTCAAAAGTTTAGACCCTGAACTGTTTTTGAAAGATGTTTCTTATGCTCATCAAGGCTGCATTTATTCAAATGCAGAAAAAAAACTTAATGGTGAAATATTAATTTAGAATAAAGGTTTTCTGTCTTTATACTTCACTTATTTCCTGCATGTGATAAAGGCTGAATTTTCAGCATTTCTGCAGTGTCATGATCTTTCTGAAATGTGACCCTGGATCACAAAACCGGTCACATGTCGCACGGGTATATTTGTGGCAATAGCCAACAAGACATTGTATGGGTTGAAATTATTGAATTTTCTTTTATGCCATAAATCATTAAGTAAAGATCATGTTCCATGAATATATTTAGTAAATTTCCTACCGTAAATGTATAAAACATTTGAGTAAATGCAGCACAATCGCAAACATAAGGTGATTTTGTCAATGTATTGATATTTTTGCACCCTCAGATTCCAGATTTTCAAATAGTTCTCCGCCAAATATTGTCATATACTAACAAACCAAACATCAATGGAAAGCTTATTTATTCAGTTTTCATGTGATCTAAATCTTAATTTAAAAAAATTTACCCATGTGACTGGTTTTGTGGTCCAGGGTCACAAATCATTTTAATATGCTGATTTGGTATTTTATCAATTTTGGATTTTTTTTTTTTTTTTTTGGAACCTTTATTTCTTTTCTTTTTTTTTCTTAACTTTTTTTTAATCAATTTAACACATCCTTGCTGAATAAAAGAATGACCCCAAACTTTTGAATGGTAATGTATATTGTTAAAGATTTGTTTTAAATAAACGCTGCTTTTTCTTTTTTTTTCTTTTTTTACTTTTCGATGTGAATTAATGCTTCCGGTTATGTATGTATCAGTTTCTGCAAAAATATTATAAAATCTGACCTTTTAAAAAACGAAGGTAATAATTGAACTAAACGTCTTACAAACCAATACCCTAGTCTTGATATAATACCATCCAGACTCAGAGTAGCCTAAAGTCGAGTTGTGACATTTTTATTTGATTTTAAAACGTTCAATTTCAAAATAGAAAAAAAGTAAATAAATGCTAGCCTACACAAAATATGATTTTTGTTGTGTTATTGTGGAGATAATTTTTTGGGTAACACTTTATTTTGATGGTCCATGTCAAATAAATGTCAACTAACTATCATTCGAGTAGCCTGTTAGTATAGCCTACTGTAAGGTTAGAATAAGTTGATATGTTGCACATTTACTTAATAGACAGTAGAATTTAATAAAGTAGTTATTAAGAATATTAAAGTAGTTATTAAACGAGTTAATTATCTCAGAATTACGAGATATTTTTTCATGAAAAAAGTTTTTGCTCTGTTTTTCTGAATTAACGAGTTAATATCTCAGAATTATGAGATATTTTTTTCTTTTTTCCATGAAAAATGATCTCGTAATTCTGAGATAATTAACTCGTTAATTCAGAAAAACATAGATTTTTTTTCCTCAAGTGAATGCAATACGCTTACGTAATATACAGTGAAATTCATTTATAAATAATTTTTTATATATATAATTCAGAACGTAAAAAAAGAAGCAGGAACGAACTATATTGGATATTAACATCCAATAGTGTAAATCGCGGCAGCAGCTTCAGGTTGGTAATCCAAGGCACTGTTGTCTATAGTACTTCCGGGGATATTCCCACCGGAGTCTCGCTTTCGATTTCAAAATGGCTGCTGCGTGAAATCCAAGGGGGTAATCCATCGACCGGAAGTTGAAGCCGGCCGGGTGCCGCCATCTTGTAGCAGAACTTCACTTGCGTTAGCATTTCCATTGACTCCCATTCATTTTGGCGTCACTTTGACAGCGAATAACTTTACATCTGAGGCGTTTAAAGACTCCATTTGTCCATTATTTATTTCTAAAGAAACACGACAATGTATAAAAGGCTCCATTACCTTCTATGTTACGTTATGGCCCCGTAGAAACAGATTTAGTAAAAATAGGCTAACGATTGCGTCATAACCACTCGACTCTCTGTCGCGCTGTACAGAAATTACCCTATAGACAGAAGTAGAAACTCGCGCGCAATCGGGGGGACGTCCCGTCAAGGGAGAAGCCCATAGAGAGTTGTAAAGCTGCTCCTGCTGCGAGCTCATGGACAGCTAATACTCACGATCTCCGGCAGCTCAGCAAGTTTCGGAAGGGAATGATTCAGATTCCTCTTGGCACAGCTACTAGAAGAGTAACGTCTGTCACACAGGTTGCTCACGTCATCAAGCTTAGTTTGAGTCGGTCTGAGTCTGCGCGTCAGGAACGGAAGTGCTCAAAAATCGCTAAAAATGGGCTTCAACTCTCAACTGAGTTCCAATGAGATGGCTCTGTCTACTTCTTTTACTGTCTATGGTGAAATCAGCGTATAGATTCCTTTTAGACAAAAAATAAAATAAAATAAGCATGGTCTAAATGATGCGTTTTTAAAACCAAATTCGAGAATGTAAAAATGTAGGATTAAAAAGACTATCATGAAAAAAAGAGATATGAATGATATGGATGATATGAAATCTAGAGAAGCTACCATATTGCTTTCCAATTTACGTTTTCATTACATGTATTGCATGCATTTAGAAAATGCTAAAGCAACTTACAAAAGAAGAACAAAAGCAATTTATCAGAGAGCCAACAATAATCGTAATATACTGTACAATGCCAGGTTTATTTGACAATTTAATGTTTGTTTCTAAAGCAAAAGTTAAAGCTCAATATCATATAATTTCCAGCAACCAAAGAGCAGTCTGAACTGTAAAACTATTACATATAGCGAATTGTATTTATTATATACATTTTAAATCCACAATTTGTCACCCTGACCCCTGATTTTGTGTTCCCGTTCAGCTCATTCCTCTTTCTTGAGTATTAAACAAGAGGACTGTATTCCCAACCAGAAGCCCGGCAGAGTTTTCTCCTTTATGGGATTCTTAAACCTGTGAATAAGTTTCGCTTCTTTCTTCTTTGACTCTTCGTCTGTCTCCACGGCGTAGAAGCAGAGCAGGCCTGCGGGCTGATCCACATAGACACCTATAGTGCTGCACTGATGAGAGCCCTCCACCCTGCGGTTGATTCCTTTATGCCAGGCGTCATAGCAGGACCCGGCCCAACCCAGACCCCACGACTCCTCGTTCTCCCCGAGGCCACAGGTCCCGTCGCCGGCCCTCCTCCCGGCACCCTCATACGTCGCCCCTATAACCACCCAGCCGGAGTACTCCACCTCCCAATAACAGCGCGACGCCCAGATAGACTCCTTACACAGCACCTGCACACACACACACACACACACACACACACACGCAGGAATGCGTTTTATTATTTTGGAAATAGTGCATGAGAGAGACAAAGATATCAGAATTATGTGAGTGTGTTTGTTTGTGTGAGTTGTGGCCCATTCATGATTTTGAAAACGCTTTGCAAAGTATATAGTTTCCCAATATGTGCTTTTCATTTTATTATTTATCATGTCATATAACTGATGTAATATTAAATAGTTTTATGAAAAGTGGCAATAGTTTTGGAGACATTGTCATCTCACTTAGCAGAAAAACGTGTGTGTGTGTGTGTGCGTGTGCGCGTGTGTGTGTGCGCGCATCTGTGCGCGCGCGTGTGTGTGTGTGTGTGTGGTTTTGTGTTTGTTTGTGTGTGTGTGTGTGTGTGTGTGTGTGTTTGTTTGTGTGTGTGTGTGTTTGTTTGTGTGTCTGTGTGTGTGTGTGTGTGTGTGTGTGTGTGTGTGTGTGTGTGTGTGTGTGTGTGTGTGTGTGTGTGTGTGTGTGTGTGTGTGTGTGTGTGTGTGTGTGTGATTCACCTGAGGGTTGTAGTCAAATCTCTGTTGTCTGTCCAGGCAAGGACACACCTCATCTGTCAAGCGGATCACTTTAGCCCCGCCCTCTGTGAGCCACAGCACTTTATTGGCAGTTCGTTCGTCCAATGAAATATTGAACCAGTCTAGGATGAAAGAAAAAGGTCAGCCACGCCAATTAATTCAAATTATGAATTAGTTATTTTTGGAAAAAAATTATTGTTTCCTTGGCAACTAGCTGATATAAAATAAGTTTAAGTTTTTAAAAAATATTTTATTTAATTTTAGTATGTTTTTATTTTTAGTTAATGATAATAATCATGGTTCAGACTGGAAAGTAGCAGGGGCGCGTTTCTCAAAAGCATCATTGGCCAACTATGATCGCAATGTCTATTGAACTCTATTGGTAACGACAGAACTTGTTGCGACCATGGTGGGCTTTGGGAAACGCACCACTGGTGGTCAGTACTGGTTTATTTGATTCTTGTTCTGTGTGCGAGACTCACATTTCAGCAGCTCCTCTCGGGACGTCGGCTCTGGGATGTTCGGCTCATAAACTGGAAGCTTTTCTGAAGAGGGAGAATGTGAGAAATATATCAGTTCAGACATCAAGCCAGATTTACTAAACAGGGCAAATTAGCGTGAGAGCGCAATACCAAAACAGCACCGATGGAAGGAAAGTTCTTCGCTTGATCTACTGAATACACACACATTAAAGAACACACACGCAGTCAGATCATTTCCATAATGACCAACGCAATCTGGTTAAAGACATGCTTCATTTGGGCGGTAAATAATGCTGCAAAAACCAGTCAATTGACTAGTGCAAACCTTAGTAAATCACCTTGCATGATTCATTTAAATATTCTCCTCCCATACATTTTGCTTCTGAAAGGGAAACTATTACAAATGCAATAAGGTCAGCAGCAAAAATAACCCTGTCCCTGTCAACACATATTCAGCGCGAACAACTTCTGATAGTAGTTCTTTAACACGAGAAGAGGGTTTGCGCAGGCGCACGCTGTTAAATCTGGCCCTTATAGACTTCGCCATTATAGGGTACAAAGCATAGATATCCATAATAAAGGCTAGTCTTACGGCGGAGTCTCTATCGTCATCACCGGCGGCCATCTTGTCACAGGCAAGCTTTCTGGCGGGCTCTGTGGTGCCTGATGTAAGATGAGTGATCAGCACGAACACAAATACTCTTATCTCGTTGAAATCTTGACGGATTTACAAACGGTGTGGTTTCTTACAAACGTTATTAACGTGGCTATAATTCTGGATGATTATTTATTTATACACTTATTATTCATAAGTATGCAGTGTCATAACTACATCTCTGACGTTTATAACAAACCAAACCGTTTGAAAATCGGTAGAAAATTGAGCAAGTTATGGTTATTTAAAAAGTACATGCACCATTAAAACACAATGTTACGAGTGAGCGAGCTGCCTGTGACAAGATGGCCGCCAGGTGCGGACGTCGACCTCCATTGGACAGCAGCGCGGACGAGACGCCTTGTTTATACTCGACGCGTCCGCACGAGCGCGAGTCTCCGCTGACTGCGCGCGGACCTCTCCATATGGACGAGGCGTTTATACTTGACGCGCTCGCCGTTGTGCTATTTTGTGAAACGACAGGGGGCGACTCGGAGTTATTCTCCTCTAAACCACCAGGAATCAGCAGTGAAGAAGTAGTTTGCCATTTATTAGTAGTTTATTAATTTCTGATTCATATAAAAAGAGTAATAAATGCAGTAGGTTTATTGCACTTTCACTGCATGTAAACTAGTAAACAACTGAAGCCTTATTGAAGAGTGTTTGAACCTTAATTTCATCAGCAGGGCTTACTTCTGCTATTGTAGGCTTATTTTGTAAATGTAAGCAGTTACTTTATACAAGTGCAAACTGGGTGCTTAATGTAAATGTGTTCCTATTCACAAAATGAGAGGCTTTTATGGTCGCCAGTCAATGCAAATGTCTCTGTGTATAGAAGGATCATAAACATGGTGGTACAGACATACCAGTTCGGCCAGATTCGGCTCGAAGTCGTTCATCTTCGGATGCGGCGCCGCGCGCGATGTTACAAAAAGTGCCGTGCACACCGCCAGGCGAAATGGGGTCTTGCGCACCCAACGCGCACGACCGCCCACACCGCAATGACGTCATTTTTGCCGCGCGCACTTCGCGCTCTTGCGGACGCGTCGAGTATAAACAAGGCTTTGTAGAGGGTGCTTCTCAATAGAGGGTATGCGCATGACGTCACCGTCGGCCGGAGTGAATGCGGTCACGCCCACAAGTGGCAAAAAGACTGAGCGGCAGCATTTGTTTTCAGCGTGAACGCCGTGAAAATCACACAAAAACACATCTAAAACAGGAAAGAGCTTTGCGATTGACTGTACAACTAGATTTGACCAGAAATCTGAGGTACTGTATATTTTTACAGACTGCAAAAAGCTACAGAACTGACTATATTCTGCATAATTGGATGTTTTTAAATAAACACTGACAAAAAACTATATAAGTTTTAGGGCTGGACGATATGATGATATACAGTATAACATTAATGTAAGTGATCACTCGGATTTAGACCTATCTATATTGTATTTATATAAAACGTTTACAGGCAAATTTTCTTCATTTATTTCCCCGGCGTCGAAATCAGGCACATATAAATGTCAGGAAACAAGATTCCTGGCTGCATGTCAATATCCATGGATCACTGGATCTTTGATAAGTTGTAAGGAACACTATATCGAGTCCAACTATTAGTTTAAACTGATAATAGTTTGTTTTACTCGCGTTAACGCAGTTTCCCCTATTAACTCCAGTCACGCAGCAGCTCTTCTGCCACTCAGTCCCGCTGAGGGGGGCGTGTTCCGGCGGGGAAGTGACGTTAATGCATTCCCTCTATATCCCTCCTCGTCTCCTCGATCCTCCGTCCTCCATCCTATGACCCGGAAACCGATCGAGCTCAGCCATCTTGAAGGACATCTCAATTCTCTAATTGCACCGCGAGGAGGCGAGGATCGAGGAGTGAGGAGGCTTCCAGAGGAGCTATGAGCGAGGATACACAGGTGTACCCTTTGCGGAAGAGTTTTATCGACTAAACATGACGCACGTATCAATTCTCCTCCCCCTTCACATCTGTCACAATCATTTGAATTTATACTTTACTTTTGTAGTTTACATAAACCACACAACTCACATATTTCAACAAGGTATCTTGGTTTATTATTATTTATTATGAATTTCTTAAATAAACAAACTTAAACAACATAAGGGCAGATCCTTTGAGCACTGCTGATGACGCAGTGAAGTGACGTTCGAGTGATCAAGTATTCCAATGTATAAAAAAGCTTTCATTCAATTCCTCCGTCCTCATTTTTTTCCCTTGCAGCCTTCCCTCGCGTCCTACAGGGGGCGGAGCTGAGACGCGAGGAAAGGAAACGAGGATGCACAAATAAGAAATGAGAAGCACCCCTAGCCTTTATTATGGATATCTATGGTACAAAGGGGCTAAAGGCGCACCGGGGGAAAAAGCGCCATTGATTTTATTCTCCTCTAAACCACTAGATGGCACAAAACACCGCAGCACTTTCCAAAACATCCGCTTTTCAAGATGCGCGTGGACATTTGTCTGATTCTTAACGCGAACGCGCAGCAGCGCAAAGCTCATCCGTGCTGAATTGATCGCGGCAGTATTTGATATTTTTAAAAAATGTAGATTGTAGATGTAGATTCAAGTAGCAAACGAGAATCGCTAAAATTACTGAATATATTCTGAGACAAAGGTCATGTCAATGATTTTTAGTTTTGTTTAAAGGGATACTCCACTTTTTTTGGAAACAGGCTCATTTTACAACTCCCCCAGAGTTAAACTGTTGAGTTTTACCGTTTTTGAATCCATTCAGCCGATCTCCGGTTCTGGCGGTACCACTTTTAGCATAGCTTAGCATACATCATTGAAGTGGACAAGACCATTAGCATTTATAAAAAAAAAAATGACCAAAGAGTTTCGATATTTTTCCTATTTAAAACTTGACTCTTCTGTAGTTACATCGTGCACTAAGACCGACGGAAAATGAAAAGTTGCGATTTTCTAGGCTGATATGGCTAGGAACTATACTCTCATTCCTGCGTAATAATCAAGAAACTTCACTGCCGTACCATGAGAGCAGCAGGCGTAATGATGGTCTTTTTTTTTTTTTGAAATGCTAATGGTCTTGTCCACTCCAATGATGTATGCTAAGCTATGCTAAAAGTGGTCCCGCCAGAACCGGAGATCGGCTGAATGGATTAAAAACGGTAAAACTCAACAGTTTAACTCTGGGGGAGTTGTAAAATGAGCCTATTTCCAAAAAAAGTGGAGTATCCCTTTAAGGTAATTAAATTATTTATTTATTTTTAAACGGAAGAATATGTAAAAGGATGGTATTTGTGGTAAACAGTGCTCCTGCTGTCAGGGGGAAATACACAATAATTAACATTATAATAAACAGCTGACTGACTTTTTCATTTGTTGACATGACATGGTTATATTCAGATGGTAAAAATCATATATTAAGTTGTCCACCTTAGAGATAATAAACATATTTGTAATGAAACCATCATAAATAAAAAATATGATATTAATCATATCATATAATAAAATATCATATTGTTTGTTACTACTGTAATGCTATATTACAGTAAATTATTATGGGATCTCATTCAATGCTTTAAGAATATTTACTTTTTTTAAATAATTTTGTTTCTGTATTTTTTAAATAAGCATATTTTAATGATATTTATTGAAAAAAAAATGTTAATTTAGAATTTTATCAAAATAAACAGAAAATAGTACAAACTTTGCTAAAGTGATTGTTTTGAACAAAGTATTAACTTAGACATTATTAAAAACATATTATTTTAGCTAAAGTACGTTGTGCCCTTTGTCCTTTTGCCCTGTGTGTCTGTGGGGTAACAGGCCCACCTCGACACCTCTTATAAGATTTTTAAACAAATAAACCACTTTTATGATTTAGTTTCACACAAAATCTGTTGCTCCATCAATGTTCAATAAACACATACATATTTTCTTCTGAAATCATACTTTATGGGAGTAGTGAAAAGCCCATAAGGTGTGCCTTTGGCCCCGTTGTATTCATGATAATGATCATATTTATTCATGCAGACAGGGTTTAGATAGATATATGTTTAGTCCATCATACCAACAGGAGTATTTCTCGCTTTGATTTTCATTCCTGGAAGAAAGAAAAAAGACGTTGAAAAGAGTTTGATCAATAAAGTGTGTGTTTGTATAATAGATGAACCTTTGAAGAGGACAAATGGTGATTTATCCTGACAAGTTAATGTAGTGTGTCTGTTCTCACTCTCTGTTCTCAGTCTCTGTGACATTCAGACTCGTCTCTGGTAACAGCATCAAACCCGCGGCATGCGTGTATGTGTGTGAGTGTGTAACCCACTGACCCAATAGCCCAGTTTAAAATCATGCAACATTTGTTCAGACTTCATGAGAATGTGCTAACAGTCCAACGACACACCGAAACAAACACTGATTATGTGCTTCTTCATCACTCACATCATACTTCAGTTGAATCATTCATCACTAATTTATATGAAAAAAAAAAAAATTCACTACTTTTTGCATTCAAATTATTGACAGATTTGCTTAATTACATGACATTCATGGATTTTACGTGATGAATAAGTGTGACATAATGGCCTCATGTACACCTTTAAAACTGTTTATTATCTAGACTTATTGCAGTTAAGCCAACTTTGTATGTCAAGCCAAGTTCAGAGCAGCATAAGCATTATTCCAGTATAATTTTTTGTTTCATAGTTTTGTTATTAGATTCATTTTGTACTTGTTAATTTTAGTTTAAAACACTAAAACAGTCTGTGCATTAGAAACATTCTGAGATTTATTCCTGGGTTAGTTCTGAATTATGATAGTAATGCTTTACCTGTCTTCCTGGTTTGAGGCGTCATGATTCTTTGGCTTGAAGGCATTTTGATGATTGGGTTTGAGTTTGTCAGTAATGTGTCTAGATATTGACCGTGTTGTGTGTAAAGCACTGCGGCTCTTTTATAGTCGACATATATTGGGCACAAGGCCATTAGAAACCGTGAGGAGGGCGTTTCCAATGTCATACTTTGGCCAAATAAAGGCAGCAGGTCAGAAACACAAACTGAAGTGGGGGAAAGGATCACAAACCGAGTCAAATTACACACACACACACACACACACACACACACACACACACACACACACACACTGACTCGAATATTCGCAGATAGGGATCCTGTAAATAACAAGCCATGGTGAAAATGCTGTCAAGAAGCACTCTCTGTTCCCATTTTAAATATTCCTTGCGATAATATATATTTGCTGCAAACTTTTTTTTTTTTTTTTATATAATTATTAATATGCCAAATAGTAGATTCTCAAACATAATCCTAAAAGTTAGTTCTACATAAAAAATTAAAACCTTTTTTTATTGTGTATTTCATTTTTTAATATTTTATTATTTATTATATTTCCATTGAGTATTAAATCGAACTTTTGTCAACTCTCTGGGACAATTTACAGCATTTGACCCGAAAGATTTTAGCTACGGATTCACAGACACATTGTTTGTTTTTATCATGGTGGCGACTGTCCATTGTAGGCTATTCAGTGTTTATTACTCTGAGCTAACAATATTATCTTCATTATTTCATTATTTCATTATTAGGTCGTCATGGGAACCCCAGTTGTGGACATGTGAATGCCACTAATGACAAAGTGACATTAAAGGTGCAGTGTGTAACATTTTTGAGTATTTATTAACAGAAATGCAATATGACATCCATAACTATGTGTTCAGTGGTGTATAAAGAACTTACTTAATAAACCGTAATGTTTTTATTACCTTAGAATGAGGCATTTATAATATCTACATAGGCGCGGGAATCCCCTTCTATGAAGGTCGACATATTGTGACGTCATGTTTCTACAGTAGCCGAACGCGAACAAACAGCGTTACAGACCGCGTTTCATCACTACCTTGAGAGAGAAGCCGCAGGAAGCTAGAAGAAGCTAGTCATAAACACCGTGAGTAGTGACTTTTCCCTTGTCAGTGGTGTAAATATGTAGTTGGATTGTTTCATGTAACTTAATTCTTCTCCCTCGCTGTGTTATGGCTTTGCTATGTGGGGATAAATGTGCTGGTTAAGTTCGTGAGACAGCTGATTAGTAGGCTACTCTTGTCATTGACCGTAAAACAGTTACAGGAATCACCAACCCGTCGATCTTGGAAGCATTTTAAGTCGATCGAGTTTCCAAAATCAGAGAAAACCCCTATTGTGTGTGTAGTAAGTGTGTCTATGGGATGCGGAGGCGCGCGCGCTGTTACAATCACGTCATTTTGCCGCACGCACCTTTGGGCTCATGCGGACGCGTCGAGTATAAACAAGGCTTTACGCTTTAACCAGCTCAGCCACAGTAACAGCTCATATTAGCCAGCTAAACTTTTACTACCCTGTTAGAAAAAATATATAGTTGCTTAGTTTCATGTGGTTCTTCTCCCTCGCTGTATTATGGGTTTGCTATGTGGGGAGAAATGTGCTGGTTACGTTCGTGAGACAATCAGCTGATTACTATCATTATATTATGTATTAAGACCCTTGATCCTCACCTGAAACTTTATCCATGATGTGGTTTATAATGGACTGTGGTACAGAAACTTGGTTTACGGTGGCTATTCTCTGCTGTCTCAGACGACGATGTTTGTCCCGTTTTAGCCACCGTAGCTTCTTCGAAAGGGAGGAGTGAGCGGTGGGCTGAGCCCTTATGTAAACTGAACCGCTAGATGTCGCCAAAAATCACACACTGGACCTTTAAGAAAGTAACACGGAGTAAAGACAACAAAGGTGTGTGTGTGTGTGTGTGTGTGTGTGTGTGTGTGTGTGTGTGTGTGTGTGTGTGTGTGTGTGTGTGTGTGTGTGTGTGTGTGTGTGTGTGTGTGTGTGTGTGTGTGTGTGTGTGTGTGTGTGTGTGTGTGTGTGTGTGTGTGTGTGTGTGTGTGTGAACCTGAAGATGAAGATTGTGTGTCCGTATGTTCAGGCATCTGTGAGCATGACAGCTCAACTTCATTATGAGTCAGAGAGAGCAACCTTAGGCCAACACACACACACACACACACACACACACACACACACACACTGTGTGTGTACATTTCAGGAGTGGCAAATTAAATTCCACAGACATATTCCTCTCACACTTTTATATGAAATATGATCCAGAGATTAGCAGGTCTAAAATACATATGCAGGGCACAGATTGCATGTGCATGTTTCTTCTGAAACTTTAACCGGCCGAACACATCATCCATCAGAGGAAACTAGTCAACAATCATGGATGATGACAGTAAATCAGGGAGAGGGGAAATAATGGCTGTTTACAATAATATCAGTATTCCTGTTTCCACTGTTTTTACTCAATAAAGTGACGTTTCTCCGAGATACACTACCGTTCAAAAGTTTGGGGTCAGTGAGAATTTTATTTTTATTTTTTGGAGGAAAGAAATCAATACTTTTATTTATCAAGGACAGTAAAGACATTTATAATGTTACAAAATATTCTATTTCAAACAAATGCTGTTCTTTTGAACTTCCTATTCATCAAAGAATCCTAAAAAAAAAACTAAAAAAAACTGTACAACTGACAGACCAACAACTGTTTCAACATTGATAATAATAATAAATGTTTCTTGAGCATCAAATCCTCATATTATACTGATTTGTGAAGGATCATTTGACACTGAAGACACTGACACTGGTGATACTGAAAATTCAGCTTTGATCACAGGAATAAATTACACTTTACTATATATTCACACAGAAAACAGCTGATTTACACTGGAATAATATTTAATACTATAACTGATTTTTGTTGTATTTTTAATCAAATAAGCGCAGCCATGGTTAGCAGAAGAGAATTCTTTTAAAAGTATTTAAAATCGTACCGACCCCAAACTTTTGAACGGTAGTGTATATCCAGCTGCAGACCCGCAGGACCACCAGTTTCAGAACCCCAGTGCCAGAACCCCAGCGCCAGAACCGGAAGTGAGGGAGGGGCGGAATTATTTACAATGACACAAGCATGGTTATTTTTGCAAGTATTTAAAAATATTTAAAATTGTTGCACATTTTAAATAATATTTAGGGTATGTTTTTATTACACAGTGAGTCACTGCTCGTTGTATGAACTATAACTGGTATGTGACAAACATAGGGTGACAAATAAAGAGCAAGTGTTGTTTGAAGACGTGAGAGTGCGCGCGCGCGGCCAGGGCTCTCTCTCCCTCTCTGCTCTGCCCTGTCATGCGCAGCAGTCATTCTATTCTACATCACTCACCGATCAAAATAGGCTTTGGCGGGACAAAAATTTGCTTTGACGGCTGCCAAAAAGCGGACGATCTGACGGGTTTAAGAAGATTTAATACAACCTGAAACTAAAAAACAGACCCGACCTCTATTTGAGACCGGACTTATATTTACCCAGACCTGCAGCCACACCAGGCGTGTAAAGAGACAATCGTCTATTTGGGACTCGGCTATTTGAAGTACGGTACGTTTTTATGGTTTCTTTTAAAACAATGCCGGATTTTCTCTCTCTTTTTAGATTTTTGACATTATTTTACATAATGAAAAATGCATGCTGCACATGTTCTTGTGAAATAAAGTATATTTTATATAAAATGACCATAAGTTTCGCATTATTTTTCACCATCATGATCAGGAAGTAACTCTCATAATACAATGAAACGGATAACTATATAGAACTATATAGATTTTGTGTAATATTACACAAAATCAATGTTTTAAAATGCTTATTGTACTATACCTTAATGTATCATTATAATACGTATAAAGTATGACGTTTCGTGTGTAATAATGCCGTTTCGTGTCTAAGCAAATTACGCTCCAAAGCATTAGGTGGCGTTAGTCGGTTTAGAACGTAAGCTCCGCCCCTTACTTCCGGTTCTGGCGCTGGGGTTCTGAAACTGGTGGTGCTGCGGGTCTGCAGCTGGATACTATTGGACGTTTCAGCTACAGTATTAAATGCAGTGTAAAGTTTAATTGTGTTTTAAGAAATATTATTGTGTTTAGTGAACTCGATTAAAATAAGTTCAGAGTACTCATATATTGTTTTTGTAAACTTAAATTAATTGAGGCAATCGGTTTCCTCAAATGAAATGAGTTAGCTTAACGTGTTGGGTTTTACAGTGAACACACATTTTGTTTTATGTGAACTTTTATCTATATTTTTAGTTTATTTTGTCTTGTATTATTGTAAGTTTACTATAATTATGGATTGATTGTTACTATGATTTTCATCTGTCTGACCTTGACATTGGATACTCTCAGATTATATTGGATTACTCTGACATGAATTCATCTAAACTAAAACTAAAATCATTCAATTTGAGAATGATTTTGCAAAACGATGTAGCTTTTACCAAAAAAGTAAATATTTAGTCAATATATTCAGGATTCTTACTTTCATGTTTAATCTCAGAGTTTTATGTTCAGTTATAAAAATGGAGTTATTTGTTCAAAATTGTATTATTCGTATTTCACTCAATTGAGACCCTCATATTTCAGATAAACTGCTTTCTTCAAAGCTTGACTGTTGACTTATTTAAATTATGAATAGCTTTAGCTTGTCATTTTACAAGTTCAGTAATAGAAATGACTGCCAGTGGTTTTGTATTATAGCTGATGTGTATTTCATGTATAGCAGCATTATTATTGAGTGTGTGAGTGTGTGATGCTCGTGACCAGACTGCAGGGTTTCCTCTCATTTACAGGATTGAAGGGAATCTCTTTCACACGCTTTTCTGATGAACAGAGTTCTGCTTCTTTTCTTCAGATGCCTTCTGCATTAGCTCCTCTTTTCTTTTGAATTATCCCAAGGTTTATTTGTGATTAATATATCATTTTTTGGAGCTTGTGCTCATTCTGTTTAGTTTAGGTGTAATGATTGTTTTAGAGTCGGTCTTTACTAAAAAATATA